GATCTTCGTCATCCATCTCAACATACGCTATCCTCTCTCTCTTATGAGTTTTCGTTGCCTTTGTTTTTTCAGCTTTGAGGCGTTCTACCTGTCGAACTCTATCGGCCAGTTGGGCCATGTCTCTCAGGTATTGAGTGTCTAACTTCTTCCTAATGGAATAATCTAAACCGCCTGCGGCTATTTCGACTAACTCATGTTCCAGAACTTGTGTAAAACATCTCGCTTTGAGCAACCTAAACCTATTTAGATATTCGTCTATAGGTTCAGTGAAACGTCTCTTTACACTGGCCAATTCTTTCAGGCTTATCTTGGTTTGCCCCATGTAGAATTGTTCATGGAACAATCTTTCCAACTGGGTCCAATGATGGATCGAATTGGGGGGAAGAGTTGTAAACCAAGTAAAAGCGTTCTTTGTTAAAGAACTTGGGAAGTACTTAATCCTCAGGTTTTCGTTGTTCGAAATATCTCCTGCTTCGATCAAGTATCTCGCCACATGTTCGACAGTAGATTCTGTCGTGTCCCCAGAGAACTTAGTGAATTTAGGGACTTTACATCTAGGAGGTAAGTCTGTTTGTAACACGTATTCTGACAACAGGGATGTAAAGTTGGGCCTTCGAAAGCCCATGTTCATCCCATTTTGAGTCATGATCCTTTCGATCATGGTTGCCAGATTATTTTCCAAACCCATGTTTTGGTATTGGATATGTTGAACTACTTCGTCAGCATTTTGGTTTCTGTTAACTAACCTTACCTCTGGGGTTATTACCCTAGGTTCCTCGACAGGTTGCTCCAATCGTGCCCTAAGGTTTTCTTCGACAGGCTGTTGGACTTGGTTGATAGTGGTTTCTTCCTCTAAGAATACACCCTGGTTTCCCCTTATTTGCGCCCTTTGGGGCTGTCGAATAGGTTGGGGTACTCCAAAGAAGTCAGCCAAACGCGTCATTTGCACTGTCATCTGCTGATTCAATTGAGTAGTGTTTTGTATTAGAGGGTTCAGCACTGTACTTAAAGTTTATGCCAACATTTGAACCATATCATGGTTGCTTTCGTCCATTTGTTGCCTCAAGACTGCTGTCGAGGCATTTGTAAGTCCATGTGCTACTTGGGACGTTCCTCCTAAGAGTTGGGTCCTATTTCTATTCGCCATACCTACTCCAGAACCTTGGAGTGGCGAAGAGGCACTCACTAAAGGGTCTGAAAAAGTGGACGCAGCATTCGTCAGGCTAGCCAAGTCAGAAGTTGGCATGCCATAGAGTGATTCTCGATTATGACCGCCTGTCATAAATCCTGGGGGAACATAAGGCCTTGTGCCTAAATTTCCCCTTGGTGGGGGGGTTCCCAAAGGCACTCTGGGGCCTGTGAACGGAGGTAATGGCCCCGTTGTTGTGACCGTTACTGCTGGTGTTGAACCAGCGGTTATCGCTTCACTTACGGTTGGGATAACCATTGCTCCCACATTCGTTTGTGGGATTTCGTTATTGTTTGGCGGATTCGCCATCTCTTCTCTTCTTCTGGCAGTATTGGTATCGTTAGTGTATATTCTACCACTTCTCAATAACATACAACACTCCTCGAAAAAGATGAGATTATGTTTAAAAGGTTAAACTTCAACAATCAACACACTGTCCCACCAGGTGTGCCAATTTGTTTATCGTGGTTATTGGTAAACAACCGCTGATCCTCCAAATGGTTACTTATTTGGTTACTCGCAGGATCGATCAGATTGATCCTAAGACATAGGTTGATTTTGAGGTTTTGATTAAGTTGGATAATGGTTAAATGACAAGAAAATAAAGAGGCTTTAAGTAAATTGCATGAAGAAATGGGCTTGATAAAATAAATGAAGGCTTGAAATAAAGGGCTTCGACAGGAAAAGTAAAGAAGAAAGCAAGTAAAGTTTCTGGAAAGTAAATGACTTTGATTAATAAAAGTGGTGTTTCACACATACATTCTCAACAATTCTTTCTCACACGCTGGGTACTCGAATCTATATGAGTGACTTTGTATATAATTGTGAACACACGCGAAAAACTGCGTGACCTACTACTATTTATACTAAAACATCCCAAGTAACCGTCGGGCAGTTACACTGCTTCGAGATGACTCCACTTGGCACGTTCTCAGCGTTCGACGCTCCAGATCTTTGCACGTTGCACTTGGTAACTGCTGGAAACCGTTTTCCCTCCAAACGCTTGAATTTCAAACCGTTCCACTCTGAACCATCGAACACCTTCGTCGAAAAGCATCTTCGACGAGAAACACCTTCGACGTCGAAGGCAATCAACTTCTCCCTTGGAAGAAATCCTCTAAGTACATGGTCATCTTTCGATGGGCATTTCGACAGACCCAGCTGGTCGAAAACATCCTTCAGCTTTAATGGCTTTAATGGCTGATATTAATAAAACAAGGGTGTCGAATTTAGGAGCCAACAGTACGGGGAATAGTGTAAATTTTATGTATTTAAATTTACTTAGGAACTTTTAAAAAACTAGAAAGTATAGTTGCGGTTCTGCTGTTTTACTCCATCTATACAGTTCCTTGTGTAAAAATACAACCAAGGAAAACTGTACTTTTTATGGATGCGCTTTCTTACTCCAAGCCTGGGGTTGGTGGAGAATAGAGTCCCTAAACCCCGTCAACAACAATGCATTCGATTTTCCATACGCAACAAAGTAAGTCAAAAACTTAAATCATTTATTATTCATTCGTTCGCCAAATATATGTTAACAATAAACTATTTTACAATTCCTTTAGGTACTGCATGACAAGTATGGATTATGGCAAGAATTCAAGATTCAATGTCACTCTATATCGTAATCTATTGGATCACCTTGGCCCGGATGATATACGTTGTATCTTTGAATTTTTCTACTTTTAAATTATTTATTTATCACGTTTTCATTATGCTGATTTAATTTTATCCACAATTTATCTGGAGACAATATTTGGGTTTGGACCATGAACCAAACCCTGAGGATGCAGTTGTTTGGACCGCAAAGACTGCAATCATATGGTTCAACATTGTGGAGATGCACCACAACGACTGTGTCAAGATGCAGTTTGGAATGCAACAAGAGATATCCTGCGATCCAACTTGTTTGTCCTTCTGGCATCTAAAAAGGGTTGACGCCCAATGGGGTCTTACTAATTGGAAAGATTTTACTCCAGAATAGTGTAAGATGTGGCATAGGCGTCACCAACATGTCTTGCAATTCCCTATTTTCCTCAACCAGAATAATATGTGACACACTGATCAATATTTAGCTTGGTACAGATTGGTTAGTAACCCAGAAATGCACGTGTCTCATCCGAAGTATTTGGTTGACCCACAAATACAATGGGCACAACCCTCAAATCCCCAACAACAAACCCAACGCACATCAACCTCCTATCAACCACCCCGACGATACAGATCCACAACCACTCAACCACAATCACCACCACAATACGAATACACCCATATACCCCACACCCAACCACAATCACCACCTCAATACCAATACCCCCATATGCCTCACACCCAACCACAATCTCAATCACAATACCAATACACTTGTATGCCCCACACACAATTCTAGTCTTCTCCATATCCCAATGTAGGCCCCTTAACATCTAACCTTAACCCTGATTTGGAATTTTCCGAAGAATATGATCCAACCGATCCAACTTACTATCAACCACCACATCACCATAGCACCCAACAGTCGCAATACCAAACACCCCAAGATCCATTTCCTTTCTACCCCCTTACTCAGACGACCAGTGCTATAGACCATCCATGGAACCCCACCTACCACCAAGACGACCAAACTTTGAGGGGGCATGGATAACAGACTGTACCAAAGCGGATCTTCCAGATATGGTGATCTGACTGATTTTCATGGATCCTGAACGCATTGACTTCGTTGGACCATCGATCCTGACACAACAAAAAATGCGACGAAACCCACCACAAGACAGGCGAGGACGCGGATGCGAAACCACGGGTCGTTACCGAGTTCCGGGGACCACTAATTATTTTATATGTTTCTTTATTATGTAATCATTTTTTGTAAATGAAAAGTCGAATTTTCGTGAAGCTATATCGTTTACCTAATGTCTCACATTTAAAATAAAAAACGAAAAAAATTGTACCTCTATTGCACTTAGGTGTCATCTCACATGGCTTAGTGCAAACTTTTAGCACCTAGGCGCCAAGTGAAATGACATTTCCCCTTTACTTTTAGGTGCATGCGCCAACTGGACTGACTCATTCTTTGTGAGATTTTCTGAAACATGGTTATTTGCGCATTTTTTTTTAAAATATGATTATTTATGTTTTTTTTTTAAAACCTAGTTATTACAATTTTTTTAAAGAAAATCACAAATAGAAAAGAGGAATATTTTTAAACAAAGAGTATACAAAAATTATATTATCATAAAAATATATTAAAAATAAAAGAGTAATTATAGTAAGAGGTAAATTAATGTATTTTATATATAAAATAAAAAATTAAATATATTTAAGAATTTAATGGTATTTCTGAAATTTTACAGTCCATTGGAATTCTACTTCATTTAAAAAATTATTCTATGCATTTAAGCGATTATACCAAAAAAAAAATCTATGGAAAAAAATATTTTTTTATATAAATTATAAATTATTTTATATATTCATTTTAATAATTTATTTAATGTAAATAATCGATGCATCGTAATTATTCATAAATAATATATTATATGTGAATGTGATAAAAGAAAAAATCAAATATTTATAAAATTTTAACCGTTACGATTTATTGAGGGTATAAAACATTTTTGTATTTTCAATGTATTTTAATTAAATTTGATTTTTTTAAAATTTAATATTTCATTATAATAATTATTAAATAAGTAAAAAAAAAAAAACTATATAGTGTTGTATATATATTGGTATTTAATTTAATATACTACACCAACCCACCACCTTGACACCCGTGTCTTTGATTCGGTGGGAAGACGAAGAAGCGAAGAAGAAGAAGATGAACGTGGATCTGGAATCGTTGGCCGAAGCCACTTCTGGAGCTATAGGATCATTGCTCAGTTCAACAATTCTCTACCCACTTGATACCTGCAAGACTAAGTATCAAGCCGAGGCACGTTCTCATGGTAATCGAAAGTACAAGTACGTCTAAATTCCCTTCACTTTTGATCCTTATACCCTTTTTGTTATAATCACTTTGTGGTTCTTGATTCGTTGTTGTTTTTTTTTATTTTGATCGTGTTTATGGTTTGTTGGGTTTTTTCTTGTTATTATCGATTATCGAGTTTTTTTTTTATTGGTGGGTTTTTGATCATTTCGATGTTGGTGGTGTAAAGATTATTTCTTTTTTTTTTTGTTCCTCTTTAGAAAGATAAAAAAGTGGACTTTGAAATTGAATTGAGTTTTTTTTTTTTGTTATGTAGTAGTTCTTTGACGTGGTGGGAAAGGATTCTTTTCCCCACTTTTTTAAGAATGGTTGCTTTTTGTACCCGAAAACATATAGAGTTTCTTTTCAATTGAGTAACTGTATTATAGCTCTTCATTCTGCATAATTGTCATGCTTTACATGTTTCAAACTCTGTTTTTTAGCATAAGCAAGGTTTTAAAAAATGGTCCATACTGCGAAAACGGTTGCGACAAAACTGTATCGGAAGATGCCGTTACCGGTACAGTTATTCGCTGTTTTTTGTGATAAAGACAAATTGTAGTTAATTCACACGGGTAGGATCACAATCAGCATCACAGCACTTGTATCGACCGAAATCGCAAAAGTCTCTATGCGAGCTCGACCGTGATTTTAAACCTTCCCGATACCTTTATTCACCGTTTTTGTGATAAAGAACAATTTGTGGTTAATTCACACCGCGATGACCGCAATCAGTGTCACAACATCTGTATTGACCAAAATCATGAAAGCCTCTACATGATCGTAGTGTGACCTCGACCGTTATTTTAAACCTTCCCGGTTTTATTCACTGTTTTTGTGATAAAGAACAAATTGTGGTTAATTCACACCGCGACGACTGCAATCAGCGTCACTACAATTGTGAAAGCCTCTATGCGACCGCAACGTGACCACGACCGTTAATTAGACCCTTGAGCATAAGTATCTCTTTTCTGTCAACTGTCCAAGGTGTATGTAGTTTGAGATGTATTGCTAATTAATGTAGATTGTTTATTACTTTTGAAATATATTTTTGGTGTAGGAAGTAAATAGAACAGGCCCCATCATTATCATAGATGTGTTTGAGTTGTCTCCATATCATAGTAAAGCAGAATAGAGTTTATTTTCAGGGCGTTTGTCTGAGTTATCCGACTTGCCGTGCACGGGCCAGACACTTGTGCACATGTTTGACATGGAGACACAACTTATCCTAGAAGTGCCGTGCTTCATAGTGTATCGGTGTGGACATTGAAAAATGAAATGCTGTTAGCTTTGGTTTATATTCTTTCTGATTTTCGGAATCAAATTCTTGAATGAGTTGAACTGCATTTCTTCGTTCTTAAATAAACAAAAGAAACCTTTTAATGGGACACACGATGACTAGCATTAGATTTGTTTATCGAAAGACGTGCAAAACTAGATGTCCATGGTTCTGGTGATGGTTTTTTTAAACATATACTTAAAAAAAACCTTTTGATAGTCTACATTTTAGATTTAAAGCTTCTGAAATGTGCCAATGTGTCAAGCTGGATCAAATCAAAACTTTAAAGAATTCAATTGAGGAAAACTATGTCGGTTTTTGGCAAATAGAGGGAAACTTCGTCTTACAAGGAACAATTGAATGATTGAGGTTTCTTGATTAATAATTAGTGAATTTTCCTTTGATGATTGTTCTGTTCTTATGCTGTTTTGTGAATTATACATGGGAATGAAGTGTGATGCATTCAAATAGTTGCGCTATAGCGTAGTGGAATATGAACAAATTGCTATTGTTCTGCAACTGCAATACATTGTTCAGTACAAATAGCGGCTATAAAACTCTAGCATTGTAGCATAGATGAATTTGAACAAACCTCTATTTTCTACGATCCACAATTGATAGCATTAATCTCCTGGGTTTATATACTTAGTTACAAAGTGTTTGTCTTACCTATGCAGGAATCTCTCTGACGTGTTATGGGAAGCAATATCTAACCGTCAGGTGCTTTCCCTTTACCAAGGCCTTGGAACAAAGAATCTTCAATCCTTCATTTCACAGTTTATCTACTTCTATGGCTACAGTTACTTTAAAAGGCTGTACCTGGAAAAAAGTGGATATAAATCCATTGGAACAAGAGCAAACTTGTTAATTGCTGCTGCTGCTGGGGCTGTCACAGCCATTACAACTCAGGTGAGCTAGCATTACCTATTGATTCACTGTTAGAATTTGGAACCAAACTGATTCATCTCTGGGATTTATCAAGTTCAACCGTTTTATACAAAAAATACTGTTAAGTTTATAATACTTAACATAGTATGTGCTCTGGTCATGTATGATATCATTAATCGCGGTTACAATTATTTGTCAAATCTACAAATATATTACTATCTATCGGTTTGTTCTTTGTTATGTTGTGTATGAGAGAATATATATTTTAATCAAACTTTGTAAGTTTAATACAAGCGTATCTTAATGATGACTATGTAGCCCCTGGATACAGCCTCTTCAAGGATGCAGACAAGTGCCTTTGGAAAGTCTAAAGGACTATTGAAAACCCTTACAGAAGGCTCATGGAGTGATATATTTGATGGCCTTAGCATTTCCTTGCTTCTGACTTCAAATCCTGCAATTCAGGTAGCTCATGGCTCAAGCTAGTTTCTATCAACCACAACCGTCGTTTCTGTTCTTTTTTAAAATCATCAAGTTACTTTGTATTTAGAAAGCTCGATCTAAGATTAATATAGCTTAATTTTGAAATTTCTTGTGTTACAGTATACAGTGTTTGATCAGCTGAAACAACGGGTACTGACAAATAAACATAACACCGCTGAGAAAGGAGTATCTCCAGCATCACTGTCTGCGTTTATGGCCTTTCTTTTAGGTGCAATTTCGAAAAGTATTGCTACCTGTCTAACATATCCTGCCATCAGGTGTGTAATTGTTCCTTCCGACTTGTTTTGACCCGCAAACTTAGTTTCAGGGCACAACTGAGAGCCTTTTTTTTCTTTGTGTAGGTGCAAAGTCATCATTCAAGCTGCCGAAGCGGATGAAGAAACTTCTGGAAAAAAGATTAAATCACCGAAAACTGTGTCTAGCGTTCTCTACGGAATATGGCAAAGGGAGGGCATTTTGGGCTATTTTAAAGGATTACATGCTCAGATATTGAAAACTGTTTTGAGCTCGGCACTGCTCTTGATGATCAAGGAAAAGATCTCTGCCACTACCTGGGTCCTTATTCTTGCAATTAAAAGGTATATCTTACTCCCAAAGGGCAGGGTTAAGAACTTGTAAGTTTTACTATAGTTGTTATTGGAGGAAGAAGGTTCTATGCATTTCGATAATGGATTTAGTTGGAATGCAACGTGTGCATTTTAACGGATACGTCTATTTCTTCAGAGCTGAGACAAGGTTCTTTTTCTGGCTTCTCTTTCGTCCTATACCCTTCACTAGTCGATGTAGAATTTGTCAAAGAATTTACGCAAACGATAGACCATAGCTAGATTGAAAGTCTTTTAACAATAAATGCATTTGAGTTTTGATTTGTTACATTTCAGACACGAAATAAAGAATGCCGTCGTTACTTAGTTTTTGTTCATAGTTTGTTTTTTTATATGTTGTGGAAATCCTACATCAGAAGGATATAACTTAAGATTAGCTCAAGTGCTTCATAAATAAAATAAGCATTCTTTGATGTAGTAGCTTCAGTTTCAAGTTAATAAAGTTTGTTATGTTTCTAATTTTCTTGTTGATACTTTTAGAATTTTTGGTCTGTATCTTCTATTCAATTAAGTTTCTTTACTAGGAGTCTGTTTGGATTGAGTTGTGAAACTATTTGGAAGAGTTTATTATGGCATATCTATAAGCTGTTTTCAATTTATTTTCATAAGGTCTTTGAGATAACTAATGAAAACAGCTTGTATGTAAACAATTTGATTTGATTTTATCTTTTGTACATAAGAACATATATAAAATGTTATAAACACTTAATTATGTTAGCACGTGTAATGCACCCCCATTAAATGCAATATTATGCAAAAGAGAGAAAAAAGAAAATGATATTATTATTGAATTTCAACTCTACCTCATACATCAGGCGGTACATCCTATATACAGAAAATTCTCCTAAATAATAACCACAATTGACTGCAATGTGAATGGATGTTGTACATTCCTAGCTAATTCACCACAATTGACTGCTAATATTAACCAATAAAAACCGACTTAAAGGAATTAAATATGTTTAACACCCTCTCTCTCAAATTGGAATGGATGATGTTGTACATTCCTAGTTTGCTGGATAAAAGCTGTAAACTGCCCAGAATGGAGTGTTTTGGTAAATATATCAGCAACTTGTTGAGACGAGTGGATTGGCATGAGGTAAATGGTGTTTGTCACGGACTATATGACAATCCAATTCGATGTGTTTGGTTTTTTCGTGGAAGGTCGAGTTGTTCGTAATGCGAATGGCAGTTATTGTCACAGTATGTAGAAATGGGGTTTGGGTGGGGTATATGAAGATCATTGAGAAGGTATAAGAACCATTGAGTCTCGCAAGTAGGGTTGGCCAATGCCCTGTATTCTGCTTCTGGGGGGATCTTGAAACCACATGTTTTTTATGCTTTTCCATGTTCTAAGAGAAGGACCCAAGTAAAAGCAAGAGTTGGGAGTAGAACATGTTGTTTCATGGCATGCGCCCCAGTCAGAATATGCAACTTTTGTGATTGTTGTTGACGCTTTTCCATGTTCTAAGAGAAGGACCCAAGTAAAAGCAAGAGTCGGGAGTAGAACATGTTGTTTCATGGCATGCGCCCCAGTCAGAATATGCAACTTTTGTGATTGTTGTTGACGAAGAGTTTCGTAAGAGAAGGCCTTGAGCAGAGCTGGCTTGATATACTTGAGAATTCGAAATGCAGCCTATAGGTGCATTGTTGTTGGATTTTAAAGAAATTGACTGAGCATGCAAACGAAGTATATGTAACTTATGTCAGGACAAGTATGTGTTAAATAAAGGAGCTTGCCTATGAGACTTGTATCACTTCGATTTTTATTTATTAATTTTTTATTTTATTAATTATTATTTGATATAGTAATTAATTAAATTGTGTGATTTTGTGAATATATGGGTTATTTGGATTAATTGTGTTTTGTGTGTATTAGGTTAGTAAGTGTAGAATAATATTATTAAGTAATTGGATCTTGGTGATGGGTTAGTGTGAGAATGAGACATTAAGCTCATTAGTGAAAACATAGTAAGAGTTTTGTAAAATAAAGAGAGAGAGAGTTGTCAAAACAAGAGAAGAGAAAGAATCCTAGAAGGATCTACATCCAAGATAAGGGTGGATAATTTGTTTATTATGGGATTATATAAAAGTATGTACTAGGTAGTTTCATGATTTAGGGATTTTGTTCTTCAATTTCTAGATTTTAACATGTTAGGGTTTTGAGTTGAAATCCATGAAATAGATGTTTGAAACATGTTTTGATGTTTATGATGGAAGCTATATGTTACATATATGTTGTAATGTGTTTAATTGGTGAAAAATATGAGTTTGAATGGGTTTTTGGAGTCAAAATTCGGACTTGTGAGCAGCTGAGTCCGCAGATTTATTTATGCAGAGCGCGCTTAGCGCGGATTTTTGTGCTTAGCGCGAAAGTTACTGACTTGAGGGCGCTTAGCTCCAAAGAGCTTGCTTAGCGCAGACTGTAATGTAAAATTTTATATTTTCTTTAGTTGATTAGGAATCTTATATGCTTATGATTTATAAGGGATTTCCGTGAATTTTAATAATTTATTCAATGTGTATTGGATAGGTTTTGGATGACTTTTTGATGAAAATATAATACTTGAATTTATGTATATGTATGTCGTGAATTGATGTTAGATGTGAATAACATGTGTTGGCATTGTTTGTTATGTGTTATTATGATGTGTTGAAGTGATGAATGCTATAAGAATGTATTGTATGTGATTGATAACATGAGATATGTATGCTTGTGCAATGGTGATGACGATTCGAACGTGATGAATCAGGTGATGTATGCTGGTATGATTAAGATTGAGGGATGGTCTTAATTGCATATGATTGTTGAGATTGCACAAACATTATTTGTTGTCAAGAGGCAATGTTTGTTGGTTTCGTAGAAGCTAGTGACTTGTCCTAAACTTAGGGAATTGGCTTGAAAGCCTGTGGGATGGGTTTTTTGGTGGTTATCTTTCTGAGGGATAGATACGGTTTAAACGTAAAAATTGTTAAGGATAACAATTAATACCACATGTATATTGCATTGAGTCGCATTTGAGTCACATGTGTCAATGTGAAATGTTGAATTGGTGTGCAACATGTGATATTGGTAAGAATATTACATTTGTGGTATTTGTGATTGATTATCTATGAATTATGAATCGTTGAGCAATGTTGTATATGTGAATTGTGTTGGAATATGTTGAATACATGATTATGTGAGTTGTGATGAATTCAATTGATTTATGTTTGTTATGCATTACATATTATTATATATTTCTATGATGATGTGAATTCTCACCCTTCTGTTGGAATGATGTTTTATACGAAATCTCTCAGGTGTCGAAGATAGTGGTGCTTCTTGCGAGGATTAGTCGGAGGATCTCGTTCTTGTTTTATTCGGTTATTAGGTAGTGAGTCACACTCTGGTCATGTAACACGGGGAACATTTGAAGTCATGTTTTTTAAGAGATGTTTGTTATACTCTCTTTTATTTATGTTGTATTTTGAGATTATGTGATGAGTGACCTTTAGTGTTCAATATTTTATTATATAATTGTTATTATGGGATTTCAATTATTGATATCATTATGAAAGAGAATTATTCCGTTGCGAGATGCATATGTTTATGAAATATAATTTTAAATACGTGTTATGAATATGACCAGCGTATTTGTGTTGTTTTTGAAGTACATGTGACGTCCTATGTGATATGTATGCTACTCTGATTATGCCATATTATTGTGCGATAATTTAAAGGGGGTGTTATAAGACTCCTAAAACTTGTCGAATCAGAAAGTGGAGAGTGTCTAATTTAGGGTGAGCATAGTGATTTGGACCCATAGGCATATGAGTCGAGGAGACATGTATCCAGAAGAATATCCAAGTTGTACTTTTGTTGATAGATGGAAATTTCATGTGAGTTGCGTGCGACCTCAAAGTCCAAGAAGTATTTTAAATTACTAATATTTGTAATGTTGAATTTTGAATCCACCACTTGTTTTAATTCAAAAATGACATTTAAATTGTTACCTGCAAGCATAAGGTCATCTATATAAACTAGCACAATAGTAAAAAAATGACTACCAAGTTTAGTAAAAAGAGAATAGTCAAATTTTTGAAGTGAGCTTGTGATTCCATTGTCGATTGGCTTGTGTAAGACCATAAATACACTTATTTAATTTACAAACAACATTCTTATTTGAAACCTTTAGGTCGGATGAGATTTTCATATATACTTCTTCATCTAGGTCGTTATTGTCATACTTTAACTTGTCCTACCCTTTCACCCAAATCATCTGAATTATGCATCTCATAAATCTCATATACATACCTTCCATTAAGACATCTAACAACTCATGCATTCATTAACAATCAAGGCTTGATACTTGGATCAATGGTCATGAGATTAATATTTCACATAGACATTAGGGTTTTGTATCTTTTGTAGGGATTAGTTCAACTAAAGACTCAAGGATGAGGATTAGGGTTTGTCCCTCACTCTAATTCATCTAAGGAAACTACAAGGGTTTAATAATACATCTTCTAAGGCTCTTATACTCAACACTTTGACTTCCTTTAATACAAGAGAAGATTATTGTTACTTACACCATAAGTTACCTCACAAGGTCATCTCAAAGGCTACAAGCTCAAGGAATTGGAGGCCACCTCCTTATACATGTCATATCCACATGAATTAGGGTTTATTTCCCTAATCATATGGACTTCAAAGAAGGGTTTCATATAGATTTATCTATCAAGTGATACTACAATCTCAAAGGCCTTTACCATGGTTCAAAATGCAAGGTGATGAAGAGATCGTTGGTGATCAAGACAACTAGGGTTTGGATTTCAAGAAGTCTTTACTATGCAAATGAACTCCACTCAAGGCATAGATCGGAAGTCATTGAGAAACACTTAGTATAAGCATGGGTGACTAGGGTTTCTATATTGATTCCCTCTTCATCAATTGGTCATAATGCAAAAAGAAATACATATGAATCTACATCTTCAATTAGGGTTTGTGGCATAATACTTATCATCAGAAGACTTTGCTTGTGACATAAGCTACCCCTCTTATGATAACTCATTCAGGGAGTTTAATACAAGTTTGAGATTTGATTTGCTCAAAGGATTCATTCAAGGGTAAGGCAAGAGAAAGGGGCATTGAGGATTTAGTTTTCACTTGAATCACAAAGTCAAGTTCTCTTAAAAGATCAAGGCATTAAGACTTTATACTTCATTATCTCATTATTCCATTAAATATCATTTCAAAATCAAAAGAAAAATTGGAAGCTTATAAAGATGCTCAGAAGAGCATTTTGTTCACATCCACAAAATCATCACAATACTCAACGCCATGGTTCAAGAGGTACAAAGATTACTTCCATTACAAAGTCCTAAAGGCTATATGATCATTTACAAGAGTACATCACTTGAAGAACACACCATCATCAAATCATCAACAACATTTTAAGGCATAAGAACAATATCCTTGGGCCATCACAAAGAGGATTGCAAACTACATCACATCATCATTTTTCAAAAGGGAAAGAAATGCATTTGGAAGAGAAAAATTGTGCTAAATATATCAAATTTTATCATTGATTGTAAAGTCATTCCAAGGTTACAAGGCTATTTCATACATCAAAAGTCATAGAAAAACTATCCTAAGCCTAATCTTCACCATCTTCATGCGATGATCCAATGTCCTTACCATGTTTCAAGTCATTAACCATCTTCAAACTTTATCGTTTCAAAGCTACATCTATAACCAAACCTTGTGCCTGCCTTGCCATGCCATGTTTTGTTACATGTTCTTCTTTAAGTCAGCACATGATTATCAACATTAATCCACATAGTCATAAACAACCCTGCACATAAACCAAACAAAGCATCAAATAATGCAATCAAACAATTCTAACCATCGTCACATAACCATTCAAGTAGCAGCCATGCATTTAATCCAAAACAGTTAATCAATCCATGCCAAAACAGTCCACAACCATATCTCCAGCCTTATGGAAATGATTCAAAACAGATGGAGTCGATCTATGCACTTATAAGCCTTGCACATAACATGAAAACATGCCATAATTCATTGGAATAAAATCCAAACAAAAACAAAGAGCCAAAACAGAAAACCCCTAACCCTCATTAACCAAAAACCAGTCCACACAAAGCAATTAAACATCCAATAAAAAAATACATAATTTAATATAAAAGCAGTCCAAACCGGTTCACTAACAAATCAATCATTCACTCAAACACACTAACCTTCAAGCTCGGTGAAACATTCCAAATAACTAATTTGACTCACTGATTTGGCTAACTGAGTTAACAAACTATAACAAACTGAGTCAGATTGATCCACACCCTCAGATTCTCCAACTCAATCTCGGATCCTAAGGCTCTTAACTTCTCATCTGTAACTAACTTCACCTTCTCCTAATCACTATATAACATATTCTCTCTCTATAATCTTCATTCACGCATCACTCTTCATCATCACTCTCAAATTTCATCTTCATTCTCTCTCACCACTACTCTGAACCTCACCTTCACACTCTTCTCTCAACCTTCTCACTCTCCAATCCTCTCATCTTCAACCAGAAACCTTCGACCTCTATCAATTCTCTGCAATTCAGAAGTACACTCTCAGTCTCATCAACAACATTTAGACACGCTTACAGAAAAAAGCAAAAAAAATAAAAGATTGAGAGGAAGAAGAAGAAATCACGCAGAGGAATTAAGAGATATTTGTACCTGGATGCATAAGAATCTATGGATTTCTATTCATATTCACTGTCTTTGAAGAGCCATCGGAGCTACTTCGGCAGGTAAACGTTGTTTCTCATTTTCCTTCGCCTTTTTGCATCATTCTTCACACCACGATGAAGCTTAAGCTTCCATAAAGCCTCGTAGCGAGATCCACCGTCATCATCGTTTAACTTATCTTTTAGCCACCTAGGGTTTTGATCTATTATGTTAGATTTAGGCTAAATAAATGAAAATTGAAAGAAAAGGACTGTGGATTCGGAACCAGAGCACGAAAACGAAGAAGATGATATAAATTTGTGACGTTTATGAACTCAAACCACCGCGGGCGTCGCCTGTGCGGTGGCTGAGGTGTTTGGAAATTAAAACTGTGTAAAGACGAAGATGAAGAGGGAAATTAGGTTTAAATCCTCCAACATCTGCCAAAACGACATCATTTTTCTTTCTCAGTCACTTTTATTTATTTATTTATTTATTGTTAATTTCTGATCCCGTTCCATGTGCGTTTGGGCTTCAAAGATTGCTCAGTCCATAGAACTCCATACTGCACCCCTTCCAAGGTCCATCACCATCTTTTTTTTGCATTTTTTATTTTTTGTAGCTGAATTGTGCTTCCATAATCAATCCCACACGCGCCTAAAGCTAACACCACCAGTTCCTAGATTACACCCCCACTACTTTTACATTTTGTTAGCATTTTTTTACATACTTCTTTCCTATTAATTTTGGCATGTTTTTTTGTTAATTCTTTGCATAATAAACATTGCAAAAAATGTGTATGATATTAATCTTGTTTTATGTAAAAAAATTCACTAATTTTGTTCATAAAAAGTACCATAAACATGCTTGATGTTTCCTTGATAATTCATGATTTTTAGGGTTTCTTTTCTTGTTGATTCTTGAATAAAATGTGACAAAAATAATGTGCTATCTTGATTCTTTAGAATAATCGCTCTTATTTTTGTTCACAAAATATCCACAAAAACGTGCCTTGATTTATTTAGAAATTCATGTAGTTTTTAGGGTATTTGTGAAAAACTCAATCTTAAGTTCATTCTTTGCATGACAACATGTAGTTAGAATTCCCTTACAAAAACCCAACTTTAGGAATACTTTTCATGATAACATTAGGCTAGAAATTTCCCTTTTGTTACTCATTCATCGTGATTTTTCCTTTCAATCTAAAACAAAAATCCTTTTTCTTTATCAAATTCAAAAATACCTAATAAATACGATACATATAATACGCCATGAGCCTTAAGAAAAATGGAAAAAGATGAGCGGGATCCTTCCTTACCTCTTCTTAGAGTACTTCGTATGTGAGACACTTGACTCATTTGTACAGAGTATTCGCCCTCATTTCATAGACTTTAGTATTATACGTATCTCGAACCTTTTCGAAACTAAAGGAGAATGTACTCAAATACCCTCAGCGTTGGAGGACCATTTGATGTATCTCCTAACAAAATACTTCAACAAATCCAAACTTTTTTTCCATTGGGACTTTTCTCTTTAACCTTTTCAAAAATGGCGTGTTATTTTTGTTCTACCGCGATACAGACTATGCGTATTGTTAGAGCGTGAACATTAACATTGTCCATAAAAAACACCTAATAAACAAGTATTTTTGAGACGAACTACGAAGTTCTGATTTCTTCATTGCACTATGAGGATACGTAGGCACAGGGTTGCAAGATCTTAGCGAACTCAATAGTAAAAACTTTTTCTTTTTCCCAATAATCCATTCATGAATTCTTAGCAAGTTATAGCTTTAGATATACATACCCTTTTATTAGAACAACCAGAGTGGATCCCATTGAGTACAACGAATGTGTGGGATGCTAATACCTTCCTCTTGTATAACCGACTCATTAACCTATTTCTTGGTTGCCAGACCATCTTATCCTTCCTTTTGGGGTTTTCTCGATGTTTCCCCTTCCCTTTGGGATAAATAAAGTTCAATGGCGACTCTGTATTTTTTCCGCGTAGCGACAACTATGAAGAAAAGTTATGTTAACGTCTAATTGCTGCAAAAACCAATTATGAGTGCCAGCCAAATATATAAGAGGACGTATAATAGTCATTTTCACAACCAGACTAAACGTGTCTAGGTAATCAAACCCTTCAGTATGATTAAATCCCTTAGCTACTAATTGTGCCTTATACAATTCAATAGTTCAAATGGCTAAAAATTTAGTTTAAAAATCCATTTTCAGCTGTCATACCCTAATATTTACCCCTAAGATTCCACCTATCATACCATTTGCATCTAATCACAGATCACAAACATGGTATCCCCCTAACTTTTACCCCTTTGGTTTGACCTTTATTGGAGATCACCAAACATCCTTTGTGTTTCTTGTTGCATCTATACTTGCTTACGTATTTACTTTTCTAACCTTATTCAAAATACAAAAATATGTGTTGATTTCTTTCTTATTGTACAAGGTAGGCACTTGCAATCAAAGGACCAATATTGGTTTTTAAATTAGGGTTTTGGTTCCCAAGGTCAAAGTTTTAGTCAATAAATAGTCCACAAGAGTTTTCACTTCAAGGCATGACCTATAATCTTAAGTCATATTCATGTCAAGCTTCATTCAACATCATTTGGTTAAGAAAAGTTTAAGTTTAGTGCATGATTTCAAAGTTGATTCAAGATTGGTTCATGTGTTTATTTCTATGCCATCTCAATCCAATTGTCAAGTAATTATCAAGATTATTCAAAGGACAATCAAGATTCCTTCATTTGGTGTCCAAGTGTTCATCATTGGGCCATTGGATGCAAGGAAATGTCAAAAATCACAAGTTGGTACATGTCTGGGTGACCTAAAATTAAGAATAACATGTCACTTGGTCCAAACACCATAACTCTCTTATTTATCAACAATTTTAGAATCTACTTTGAGTCAAATGTCACATTTGAACTCCTCTATACTTTTGTTTCAAGGATCAAACATCAATTTTGTCTCTAAGTACCTCAATTTTGGAATTGGACAAGATGCCCATGTGTGCACAAAAGTTGATCCAACACCTGGTTCGACCCATTGTCTGACCTAGAATTCAATTCATAACCTGAACTTGTCATCCATGCCATTTTCAACTCAAACATCCTTTTAATGTGATTCTTTTTGCATCTGATTCTTCATCATGAGGAGATCATTAGGCACAAAGAACATATCAAAATGAACACGTGAATTTCATTTTATATAAGCTCCAACATGGTGCCATGAACTCTGCATTACACGCATGACCTGTAACTTGAAATCATCCAAATCCTTTACTTGAGATCACCAGTACAAGTGTAACTCATTTGTCCTTGCAAAACGTGTAGAGTAGAGTGTAAAATAACATGGGGTGCAACTGGGGCATCCTTATCATGGATCACACGACTCTGGGATCCCTATTCCCATGAAAGTCGACTCCTAGAGGCCAACGCCTCTCTATCGTGAGGCAGAGGAGGAGCCAGGGGTTAAGACTAGGCATACTCAGTAGACTGTGTTTTTTTATTATACTTTATTTATTTTTCATCGACTTGGAGAAAAATTGTTATAGTATTATAATATTTCTGATATTCATTTTTATAATATTCATTTTTATTAATGCATTACCGAGCTCTATAATATTCATTTTTAGTAATCGTTGAAACAAATAATGGTAATGCTACTTAAATTAAAATTAGTTTAGATTGAAAACACCACAATGTTATTAAACTGGTTCTGGAAAAAGACACAGACAATAATTTGAAGATGCATATCTGAATTTACTCTAAAATAGTTCGAATATACATCTCCGAAGTTATTTCTCCTTGAAATTGAGTGGTTGTTTGATTTTATAAGGACATATGGTTACTTCGGAGATGCAACTATGAATTTACCTTAGAGGTTGTATTCGGAGATGCATCTCTGAACTAAATTTTTCTAAAAAATAATATTTGATATGTTCAAAGATGCATCTCCGAATTCACCTAAATTTTTTTTTGAATTTTCAGAAATGCATCTCATATAGTAAGAGTGGAATAAAAAATTATCTAACATTAAGGCCAACTTTATTTTATCAATAATTTTTTGAGCTGAATCAATACTTTGTTTTTCTAATACTTTAAAATCTAATTGTTTAAAGAAAACTATTAAAGCCAACACGATGATCACCATTGTTTGCCTTTATTTTCTTAATCTGTTTTTAATTTTTTAATTAATATTTTCTTTTCTAGTCTTCTTCTTATTCTTTTATTTGTTTATTAGAGTCAAATTTTATTTTGTTAGGGCTTATTATTAAGGATGTTTATGGAGATTAATTCTCATAAAATCTGTTATGGACTGGGCCGGGCTGGCCCAAAAGCAAGGATGAAGGCCCAATCCAAACGGTCTTGCAGGGGATCGCGCCGACCAAGAAGCTACAGCCGTGTCCACGGTATCCTCGACTTCATGCAGTCCAGCTCGACCTCAGCTCGAGAACTCCTCGTAGGGCAGATCATGACCATTACTCCATCACCTGGATTCCGAAAAGACCGCGTCCCCGTCCGTCCGTACTTCTCGCAGAACACCCAGGAAGGAGACCACGTGCGGGTCCCCACTACACACGTAGAACCTGGCAGTTCCTTCATTGGGCCAAACCTGCCCGGCCCAATGAAGGGACCTTGGCCCAGCGCTGGGGGCTATAAATACCCTCTGTTCCCAGAGGGTCAAGTATTCCTTCTTTTACCATACACACACTTTCTTGCCTGCTCGTACTGCCACTTACTTTAGCATCAGAGTGCCTTGCAGGTACCCCCCCTATCTCGTTCAACTTCAGCTTGGAGCCAGTCATGACGGTCCAAGTCTGATCCGGTTAGATCAGTGGTGTCGTCTGTGGGAAACTAGCTTCCTCGTCTTGCAACAACTCGAAGACCAAAGCTCAACTCAACTACCACCGTCATGGATGACCAAGTTCGGGATGAGCAAAACATTCGCGTCGTCGACACCAACCACGGCCTCGCAGATAAAAATGGACACCTTGATAACACCGGTAACCCCGGTCACTACACCACCCCTGTGTCAACTGCCCCAGGGCCTTCAATCCACCGCGACGGAGCTACCGCGTCATCCTCCTCGGTCCCTCCGCCACTAGAAGAGGACGATGCGACTCTCGTGAACTATCGGGCTGCCCAGTTTCAGGAAGTCCCCGTCC